CTGACAATCATGTCCCAGTCAGGTTGATACATTGTCTTAACCATCAAAGCCAGCATTACTCTCGCCTCACACCTCTGCATTCATTTCTGCCAGATGTACGTCATTAATGCACAAAACAGTCAGATAGTAGATTTTTTACTTTTGTCATAAATGTGAAATGTCAAATAACAAGATAGTGGATAAGTGAGGAGAAAGTATACACACACACTAAAGTATAAATTAGGTAATTCTGAAATGATTTGGAATCACTGAAAATCTTAATATAAGATGGAAACAAACAACATCTTTCTTTGGAGAAAGTCTATAGAAAAATAGTTTTGAAAGCGTATAATTGAAAGTACTAGAGATATGAAAATAATGAAATTATAAAAATAATGAAAACTTTTCTATCGTGACCCTTTACTCTATGATCTCTATGTGTCATTACTTTCTATGTAGCATATCTCTATATATCACTGCTGTTCTTACCTTTCACAGTACTGGCCTTCATATCCCCGTGGACAAGCAGTGCAGCGGTAATCATCGAGGCCTTCCATGATGCAAGTAGGACTGAAACTAAATCAGATAAAAAAAGATTGTCAAAAAAATTTTAACCTATTTCTTTATGAAATTAGTAATTCCCATCCATATTAAGGAACCCTGGTGATACAACTGTTAAGTGCTTGGCTGCTAAATGAAAGGTTGGCTGTTGGAACCCATCCGGTTTCTCTGCAGGACAAAGACCTGGTGATCTGCTCCCATAAAGACTACAGCCTAGAAAACCTTATGGGACAGTTCTACTCTGTATGTGGGGTCACTATGAGTTGAAATCGACTTGACAACTCCTAACAACAACAACATCCATTATCAGAAGGTCCTTGGGTGGGTGCAAATAGTTTGCACTTGGCTACTAACTGAAAGGCTGGCGGTTCAGACCCACCCAGTGGTGCCATGGAAAAAAGTTCTGCCTAGTGATCTATTTCTATAAGATTACAGCCACTGAAAAATCTATGGAGTGAAGTTCTATTGTGAAACACATGGGGTCACCACGAGTTAGAATCGACTCAACGGCACCAGTTTTTTTTGTTTTTTTTTTAGTATCCATTATCAAGGTGATTGGGACTCCTTTTAGGCTGTCGTAAATGCCATATATATAATTATTGAAAACATTCTTATTCAAGGGTAGAATAGCAATATTGGATATTGTGTATAGAGTTCCCATGTACAGATTTATTTGAAAATAAATAAGTTAATATTTAAAATAATAATAAACCAATAAATAAATATTGGTTTGCTTTTTTAGAAATTCACAATGCATCACACTAAACAGGCTAAAATTTGGAATTTTAATAAGACAGCCATGAAAATATTAAACATCTAGAAAATACATACTATTTTTCGCTCATTTAAAGAAAAACATGACTAGAATCAACATTTGTCTGATAGTAGAATAAGTATTAAAAAATATCTTCCAGGTTAAAAAAAAAAAAAAAGGAGTGGCATAAAAGCTATGAAATTTTTTTCTGAAAATTCAGTCAAATTGCCCCTGGCATTTCAACACATGAAGTGTGTATCCATGTCTCACCTTAAAGAGTGCCTTTTCTAATTTACATCAGAGTTCAAACTGCATTTTACTTTAAACTCAAAGTAATGTGATTTAGTGTGAAGAAGAAATGCTTTCTAACACAAAAATGAATAAGATTTACTGTCTCTTTTATGTTTTTTTCTATAATTAAATCTTAGATAACTTGTCCTGTGTCTTCACTACAGCGCTGGTAGACCACAATAAATTTGCTTTGCTCCAGGATTTCTGATTATCTCACTCTAAAAAATATAGACTTAGACTTGGAAGTTAAATTACACCTAACATGTAGTTTTGGGTTGTTACAGACTTCTCTCAAATGTAAGTATAGCTGCATTCCCACAGGAGAAAACCGCATGGTGCACTGGGAATTTAGGGAGAAAAAAACATATTTGTTGCAATGCTTCCAAAATCGTTTTTCTTTTTGCTGGTCCAGCTAAATCAGCTGATGCTGAAAAAGCAATAAGGTGAATAAGTCAGGGCTAGAACTCCTATTGATCAGGTGCCATTAGGACACTTTACCAAGCATGATGTTCTTCTTCAGGGACTGGTCTCTCCTGGTAACATGTCCAAAGTACGCAAAACGAAGTCTCACCATTCTTGCTTCTAAGGAGCATTCTGGCTGTACTTGGAAACTTCCAAGACAGATTTGTTCCTTCTTTGGGCAGTCCATGGTATATTCTATATTCTTCACCAATACCATAATTTCAAAGGCATCAATTCTTCTTCGGTCTTCCTTATTCATTGTCCAGCTTTCCCATGCATATGGGGTGATTGAAAATACCA